CGAAGTGTGCAAACAAGGGCGAAATATGCATGGTCGAGTGAACTAGAACATCTAATTTTAAGGTGCTCCTACTGCGAGATAGGATCACTGGTGATTTTTTGGTTTGTGGTAATACGCATCTTCATCATAAACCCAAACACGAACATTTGAAAGTACTGCAAGCAGTCATTGCTGTTCGGAAGTTGGAAAGGTATGTTCAAACCACTTTTATCAGGAAGGCTATATGCTATTGGGGCTTCTTTCAGTATAAGAAGGCAATATGCTGAACTGAACCCCAAAAACCCGGTTCGTCTCCTTTTTGCTGGAGACTTCAACAGTGATCCAAATGGAGCCGTCTATGAACTTTTGAGCACTGTGAGTTCAAGTTTGCTTATTTGCTATATTTATTGTTCTTGGAATGTTCTCATGTATGACTTTTTATACTTGTTTTTCCTCACGTTCTGTTTTGAGGGGGTTTTATCAAAAGACTCCCGATGTTGGAAGTTGGACAAGAATATAGTGGCTGAGGACCTTTCGGTAAACATTTTTTTTTGATTACTGTGAGCTCTTTTTTGGAACAAATTTCTTCTTAGTTAATGACACCCTGTATGAAACTGGAAAACTTGACTGGCGCTGGGCTTACGAATTATACTCGTTTCAAAGACGAGAATGGATGCGAACATGGTTTCGCAGGGTGCCTTGATTACATCTGGACGGATTCAGCTTTAGTGCACAGAATGGCGCCACGCCCATCTCTAGAACAAATGGCAAAATATGGAGCTTTGCCTTCCAAAATAGCACCAAGCGATCATATTCCATTGTTATGCGAAGTGAAGTTTAGTGAAGCCTAGAGCTTGTATAGTTAACACTATTTACAGGTATGCTTTCTATTATCTTTTTTCTAGTTAATGCTCACACTCGAAGACCGGTATTTTTTCCCGATTTTCAAGTTTGTATGTTTTCCATGCTCATCTTCTTTTCACTTGGGAAGGGAAGTGAATGTAATATAAGATTTGTTTTAGATTTTATAGACAAAGTAGAGTGAGTTATGTTGATCAGTACCAA